CTCATCGACCAGTCTTCTGAATCTTATTCATCTCTCATGGCCAATTGGAAACAGCTTGTTGATTAATGCCCAATTGCTCACTGAGTTGTTTTTTATTTGTGAATCATTCTTCGTCCAATAATACTTGCAATTCCACATCTTCATATTTTTTGGCAGTTTTCTACATTCCTTGTCTGTAACATCGAAATCAACACTTTTGAAACACTGAAACCATCGTTCAAACGTGTCGTGCAATGGAGCATGTTCACCATAAGCTTCTCAAAGTAATCGGTATAATTCAGCAGCAATTTTCTTCAAATAAAAAGAAAAAAATTAATGCTGTCCACGAATGCTCTTTGTTCGGTGTCAATTTTGGCATACTGAGCACAACACCATGCACACAGTGTTCCAATTTATCACTCGTGTGTGTTTAACAGTTCTTGATGACAATGAAATTGTGCAGTGTCAAATCTTTATAGCACAAACTGCACTGGAGCATCATCTATTGTCTGAAATCTGCATTTCATACTTGTACACCTGGTATATAGTAAACAACTGTTCCAGTTTTTTACCATATTCCCAACTAGACTTAAGCTTACTGGGAATTTCAAGAATTTCATATTTAATTATCGCTAAGAGTTGATATTTTGTACCAACTGAAATCTGACAGCAATTGTGCATGTTGTATTTTTGTCTATTAATATTAAAAAGCAATCATTAAGAACTGCATATATTTATAAGCATTAACAATATCAATTCTTAATACAAGACAACTATAACAATCCAAGTACAATTTGTGAATTAAAATATTATGCTGCTGAGGCAATAAATGCTGTAATATCTGGATACGGTTACCAAATATGTAACACAAAAAATGACATGCCTTATTTTGAAATTAAATGTGTATTATGTAGTACTGAAAAACCACACAGAATTAAATAACTGTACAATAAACAGTTAAAAAAATCAATGTTGAAGAAATATATATGTTTCATATTTTCAATGTAACTAATTCAATTTTTGCTATCTTAACAATTCTGATATCTTACATTAAGGGGGGGAACCCCACAGAAGGTTCCAAATTTCTTTCTTACAAATAAAACATAATACAGTGTTCAAAGAGTTATTATTTATGACCTTGTTTACTGAATCAGTTTATCTTAAGAGGCAGTTGTTTCCATTATGTTCTTCAAATGTAAAACAAAAATTAGTTTTGAAAAATTACTAGATAAAATTGAACTTATATCATAGTTTGGCAAAATCCTGTTTATATCCAAATTATCATTGCAGACACATTTTATGATAATCCATTGTCAGATTCATTTTTATAAAAATATGGAAATGATTCATTGTTTGATATTTTTTCACATAAATGGTATTTTGAATGCAGCCTTCATAAATTAAACTTCAAAATGTTCTTTTTTAAGCATACTTCATTTACATCAATTAAAGGATAATAATATGCACCTTTAATTACAAGGTAACCATTAAATTTTTCAATCAGTTTTAAATTATTAAACCAAAATTCCTCAGATGCATTTTGAAAAAATGGATAAAATTAATAGCAGTATACTTTTGCATAAATATTTTTAAAAAAGGAAAAATTAAATACTGCATGAACTTAAAAAAATAACAATACATAACATAAATAATTGTAAATTAACAGTTTCAAAAATACTCTTAAAAAATATCTTATAGGTTAGCAATAGTCCATTGGTAAATAACCTCACAAAAGATAAAAGTGACTAAGAATAATCCGCAGAGCAATTTACTGGAATCTTTGGTGCTTTCTTCTTGGAAATTTACTCATTTTTCAAGGTTCATACACATTTCTGCACACAGAAATTAAGGACTTTTAATGTAAAAAATTAAGGACCTATGAGCAAATGGGATCTGAATAAATTCAATTAAAAATATTATCTATGCCTGAACTTCACTTTTGTAATACCATAAATAGATCCGTAAGTAGGATGCATAAACTTAATTAACATTCTTATTAGAAAGTTTTAAATATTTTATACTTATAATAATTGGGCATGTTTGATAGAAAATAAGTGACATTTTATTTGTGTTTTACTAACTTTTTTTTTTTTTTTTTTTTTTTTTTTTTTTAATGTCTCATTTTGTCACATATTTGCTCAGTCTAGAGGTTTAGTAAATAGTAAGCAGATGTTATGTCAAGCGGCATAGGTTAAAATGAGAAGTAAAATCATAATCAGCATGATTCATAAGAAAAGAGCCTAGCCATTGCCTAGAGAGAGAGAGAGAGACCTGCTGATCAGAACAAACCTGAAAGGCCTGATGTAGGCACAGTTGGGCAAGTTCTGAAAGTTAGCTGGGCTCTGTCTGATGCAGTTACTGTTGTAGCTTCATGTAGAGTTCCAGGGTTTGTGACTAAGTTAATATACTTTAAGGTTCTAATAAGCCACTAAAGCACCAGAGGAGATAAGTAGTTTTTCATTATTTTAAGTCTCACTAGATGCAAAGAACATTTACATTTTTGTGTTTTATTTTGTCACCATGGTAAGGGTTAATGAAAGGCAATAACTCACTTTAATATGTAAGATAATTTTTAAGGGTAAGCAGTTAGTTATAAATAATTAAATTAGGTAATTAGATAACCTTAGTCATTATGGATTTACATAACCACTATTACATTTTATTTTTTAACAATATTTGTTAAAAAAAAAGCCCTATTAAAATCAAAAATCTAATAACATTTCACAGTTTCAAATACATGTAATTTATGACATTAGGATAATTACACATTAAAAGCTACAAAACATTTATGTTTTATAACAACAACACTAAAAAAAAAAAATATTTATCCGTTATTTTCATTTGAAGCCTTCCCAAACATTTTGGCTACTGTATATCGATTTCTTTCTCTTTAAGCATCTTTTCTAACAATTAAAGATTTGTCTCAATATGCAAACCAATGTAACTCACTTTAATATGCAGAGATAATTTTCAAGGGTAAGCAGTTAGTCATAAGTAATTAAATTAGGAATTAGACAACCTTAGTCATTATGGATTTACGTTTATTAAATTTGATTTTTTTAACAATATTTGTTAATAAAGCCGTATTAAAATCACAATATAATAAAATTTCACAGTTTAAAATACATGTAATTTATGATATTGATTCTTAAACAATATTAGGATAACAAAACAATAAAATATTTATGCATCTTTTTAATTTGAAGCCTTCCCAGACATTTTGGCTAATTTATATTGATTTCCTTCTCTTTACGCATCTTTTCTAACAATTAGAATTTGTCTCAATATGCAAAAGAATGTCCTCACTAGTTTCTGCGTGTTTTATCTTTTAATCTGTCAACCTCTCCACAATGTACCTATGAGTATTTATTTGATCTAGTAAAAGTTAAATAGTCGACAGGCCCACCCCCAACAGATGTGAAGCAAATTATCGCTATGCTTGAAAGTAACTACAAAGTTTTAAATAAATTTTTTTCTTAAAAAGAACTTAGAACATAAGAGCGGAGGTCAGAAACACACTCCAGAAACCTCAGTTTAAAAACTGTCTAAGTGATTTGCATTCTGGTGAGAAAATAGAAATGGGAAATTATAGCAAAAACTGAAATTGTAACAACTGGCTAGTTTACATAATAATAACTGTACATATCTTTGAAGAATAATTTTCTTTCTCTTTAAGTATTCAGGTTCATTCTTCCACATTTCCTTTTCATTTTAGAATTTTTTTTTTTTTAATTAAAGATTTCTGTTATTCTAAATAAACTAAATGCATTTAGAATGTATAGAAAAAGCTGCTGATTTTATTTCTTTACTAATATGAACATTCAGAAGAGATATAAAATATATATGATAAGGTCCAATTACAGAGCTGATGTAGCATAATTTTTAGAATTTAGTGACACACCGAGCAAGAAAATCTAGAAATGGCGAAACTTTTAGAATTTAGAACAGGCACTGGAAGCAGAATTTAAGATCCACAGAGAAAATGCCTAATGCCAGCCCAGGGTATGATGCATTAAGACATATTAGATGAATCTTTTAAATTGTCTGTTTTCAATTTATTTATTGATAAAAAAATTCCTTTCTATAATGTCTCTCCATATGATAAGATTAGAAGCATTTTTTATATTTTCCATGCTTGTGTCTGGTGAAAAGTAGAGAAAACAAAGGGAAGATAAAAATGTTAAGAAAAATATTTTATTATCAGAACTAAAATATTCAACTAGACTGTTTTCAATGTTCTTCCAGACGTTCTCCAAAAGGTAAGAAATTACATGTTTAATACCATGGAGACATTTTCATTTTGTCACATTTTTCTGGAATCTTCTAGAATCGTGGATCTATAAATCTTGCCTCCATATCTTTCTAAACTTTCCAAGCTGCAATGTCCTAAAGAAAAATTACCCCTACCAATTCTGTAACAGCATAAAGCCAGAAATATTTTGAAAAAAAAAAAAAAAAAAAAAAAATGAGAGGAAAGTGTAAAATTAATTTTATAGAGAAAACCAGGTCTTAATTTCTAATTTCTTCAGGTCAAAATGTTAATTCACACTCAAAATGGTAGTCGTAAAAATAGACAGAAATTTCAGATGATTAAAATTAAGGTACCTTCTGCTAATTTTGGCAGAAATTAAGGACCTTACGAACTCTGTTTTTAAGGAAATTTTAATCTACTGCACAAATTTTAATTACTATAATTTTACCAATATACACAGATACTTTAAAGGTCATCTATTTCTCAGACAAAAATTTCACAGTTCAGTTATTTGGTATACAATATACTGTCAGACAAAAATTTCACAGTTCAGTTATTTGGTCACTTATTTCATTTATAAAATATATACTCTACTTGTAAGGAAACAATATATACCTTAAATTAATAAAAAAAAAAAAAAAAAAAACGAGATGATTGATTTTTGAACTTACTAATTCACCATTATTAAGTCATGTAAGCAAAATTCAGTCGAGCGAGTTTAACTATACAATAAATGTAACTTAATAATATTCAATCACTTATCACTTACTGTGTATTATTACAGTTAATGTTTAGTTTCAAAGCTGGTTTACAATGTAGTTCTTCTGAATGCTGAGAACCATCATCTGAGCATTCTGGCATGCTTCGATCTGATTCTCCTTCTCTGAGTTCTGATTCAGCTTCCATCAATTCTAAATTTTCTAACTTGATTCGATACTCTTCATCAGAATTATTACAGTTCTGATTGTCAGCATCCTGTTTTAATTCTGCAAGCTTTTGCCTATATGCTTTAACATTCTTTCTATGCTGTTCTAAAAATGATAAAAGAAATCAAATATGACATACTAATACAAAGACTAAAGGTATTGAATGATATACACTACTCATATATTTCTTCCCCTTGCATATTTTTCCTTCTAGCACTTTTAGCATATAATTTAGAAATTTATGATCTATAATGAAATAAATATAAACAGATAAGAAGGTATGCAGTGCAAGTTTAAAGAATATTGCTGAGATTAAGAACTGTAGGACTTCTTTAAAACACAGAAAAGAGTAACATTATTACATCGATTCACATTTCCTTTATAATGTGCTGCATTCTTGATATAACCATTTCCCTCAGAAAAGTGTTCTGCATAATTTTTATCATTTTCAAGAAGTAAAATTAATAATAAAAGGGATAAAATTATACAAGTAAACAGAGTACTCAACATAGGACAAAATAAAGAGCAAACTACATAAATTTTATGAATATCTACTAAAATTAAATATTTCATAGATTTAAATAATTAATGTAATTACAGTTGAAAATATTTAAATCTGAAGCTCTTGTTCAGCTAACACTCATTTATTTCCCCCCCACACACACACACACAATTAAAATTAGATTTTCTGTGCAAAACAAGCAATTTGGCCAGACGGATTTTTCAGTGCCCAAAATTGAGTTAATTTGTGGTTCCACTCAGCAAAAAGACACTGAATTTGGTGCTCAAACTGAATTCACTATTCTACCAACTTTCAAATGTAAACAAATGGTGGCTTTGTTAGGCTCAGTCGCACTTACACAACTTTTAAATTGTTGATAATTCTACAATTATTGCATGTAGATTAACTAAAGGCATAACAACCTTAACCAGAACATAAGAAAAACAGAATTCAATCACTTTTAAAGCAAAAAAATACACAATTTACCAACATATAAGAATAAGAAACTGATACGCCAAGCTGGGTTACAGAATGGGTATGTGTGTGTATATATATATATCTAATTTATAATAAGAAAGCTTTCCATATACTATCTCCAAGGACCACAAATTGTTCCTTGGAGATGGTATATGGATGGTATAATAAAATAAATAATCTTCAATAACATCCAAAATAGAAACATTTATATCAAATTCGTTTTCCCAAAATAAAAGAAAAAGCAAATTAAAAACCATTTATTTAAAACCATGAATGAAAAAAAAATTTTTGTTTAGTCAGATGATTAAATATTTTAAATAGTAATTTCAATTACACACACACACACACACACACATATATATATATATATATATATATATACATATAAATGTTTCATGTGACTGATTGCAACCAAAAAAGGAGGTGCACAACTACATGTTATAGCAGTCCCATATACAAAACTTCAATGTTCTAAGGCTACTTCTTTTTGAGTTATGCGAGATACATATGTACAAACATCACAAAAATAACTCTTCTGAATCCATTTTGGAAAAAAGAATCCTTTACTCTGTCTATGTGTACACATGTCATGCAAAAACATGATTTAAGTGGATTCGAGAGCAGTCAAAATGGATATTTTTGTCGAAATATCATACCCAAAATTTTTCACGATCACAATACTTTCCTTACTTTGTACAAGGAAGTAAAAATTCAGAAATTACAGACTGCAGAGTGATTTATCATTTATAAAATTCAAATACATTAGAAACATTTCTCATTAATGAAAATCTGTTCTTATTAAAGTACTAAAACTGAATGCTACTGTTAAATAAACTGCATTAAATGAAATGATGATATAATACTTTCAAAGAATAAATTACTGAAATTAGCTTTGGCAAGAAATAAGATAACTAGCTTAATTAAAACAATAGCTATATCAATCAAACATATTTAAAACAAATAATAATAATAATTTATTTTAAAATGCAAACAAAAATAATTTTAAAAAGTAATCTAATTTCAACATCACAGGAAGAAAAATTATAAGGAAATATCACATTTCTCTGTGTTCACTCTCATGGTATAACTGATTAGCAACCAAACAGGCTACAGAAAGATTTGTGATTTGAATCCGGGTAAAAGCATATTGATTTTTCACATTTTTAGCTCTGAAAAGCCTAAGGAGTCTCTACTAAAATATGGTGGATGACCTAGATTTGGCTAACTGGATCTCATACCTCTTCACAGTCACTTCTTAAGTAAGGAAGAATGTAAAGAATTATTAGTGGCATAAGTAGTTAACACTTTCATTAGGAAAGTGGAAAATCTTAGTTTGAGTTCCAGAAAGGAAACTGATTTTTCATGTTTTTCAGATCTAAAAAAAGCTTAATAATTTCTACAAAGTTTTATACTAAATAAATGATCAGTAATATTTCTCCAATTTCAAGCCATTCAATGGAAATTATATTAAGGCAAATTTTCAGCATTATGCAACAAAACAATAATTTAGGTATGCATAAATAGCGTATCTTAAGGGGAAAAAATTGCAAATAACCTCATACAGCTATTAAAATTAATTATATATTTGCATGAGAAATACACCTCACACGGATATTAAAATTGAAAATGAAATCAAAAAGTTTTGAAATTCATAAAAAAAAGGAAATATCCTAATAAGAAATTTGTAGAGAAAACTATCTTAAATGTATTCACTACACTCAGTAAGCAAAATCCATAATGACATACCACAGTTAACAATAAAAGGTCACTAAATGCTTTCTTTATAAAGAAGAATTTGACTAAAATTAGAGAGAAAAAAATTATGAATAAATACTTGGATAAAAGTAGTAAATACCTTAAATCTTTAAAATGAAACCATAAAGAGAAAAATGACTCAATATACAATAGAAGTTTACAGAAAATTTCGAAATTGCATAAATATTGTGAAAAGGGAAATAATTTTCCAGAAAATAAAATAAATAATGCTTAATAACATCCAAAATAGAAACATTTATATCAAATTCTTTTTCCCCAAAATAAAAGGAAAAGCATATTAAGACAGGAAATGAAAATAAACAATTGCTAATTTCAGTCAGGAAGAGTAACTGTAATCCTTTTGATAGGTAAACACCAAATTTTGTACAAAAATCGATTCTGAGTTGTTGTTTTTTTTTTTTAAATCAATGACGTATTTCAAAATCCTCTTTCACCAAATCTATTTTTCAAAATCATTAGCTACTATTAAAGTTATATCGATTTTCCTGAGGCATAATATCTCTATGGAATAGAAGTAAATGAAAATGTAGTGTTTAATTTTTAATATTCCTATCAACACATAGTTCATGTAAAAAATTTTTGTATAAAAATTTACTGCTACTGAATGGCACAATGCTTGATTACATGATGTAAAACAAGACATCTCTCTTCCTTGTATTTGGCTGAGAATTTCATCCTTTTACCAATTTCTATTTGACATTAGCTTTATTTTGAACAATTTAAAAAAATAGGCTTGTAGGCAATAAGCTTTTATTTAAAATGGGTATGAGAATTAATCATTAAAAGGAGAAAAATAATTTATCATTTAGTTTAATGGGAATAAGGGATTAAATAATTCTATTTACAGAATTCATCTACAATTTTCTGTCACAACTAATAAAAGTGTGGGACAGCCATGATAAATCTAAAAAAGGTAATGGTTTTTACATTTAACAATGCAAAAAAATTCATGGATTTTAGAATTTGGTGCCCATTTTTATTATATGATAAATTATTTTCCTTATTTTAGTGTATTAATTATCACATACAATTTAAACAAATAAATGATATTCATTAATAAAAACCCTTAATTGTATTTTATTTTCTATTTTCAGTCTTAATTGCACGTTGTCAATGATGGAATTTTTAGTCATTATTAAAACAAAAGCAATAAATAACAGCAAAATTAGGAAATAAAGAAAAATAACGGAACCTCATTAAAGAATGAAGCAATCGCTTTATCAAATCAATTAAATTTCTTCGAAGTTTTTTCTAAAACTGAATAACTCACTCGGTTTTAGAAACTGGATGTAATAACAATGTTGCCACGAGCATTTTACTTAAAGCTAAAATCAAAAAAGAATATCACTAACTCATTATTATGTGCGCAAAGATGACAAAATCAAAGCAACTTTTACGTGAGATAGGCTTTATTTCTCTTCCTGCTTCAGACTGCAACATGTTTTTTTTTTTTAATGTAGAATATCACTCAATTAATATATTTTGACTATTCTTGTTTTAAAAGAAGACAAAAAGTTTGCTTCATACCCGATACACTTTTAAATGCTGGAATTTTCCAGTCATAAATGTCAAATAAATCGAACAATTTAAAAAAATTCTCCAAAAATTTAGAAATAAATTAAAAATTTTCATACAAGTTTCATCAAAAAGAACTTTTCACTTTATTTGATGTCGTAAACAGTAAAATTCTGATATGCTTGATTAGTTTGTTAAACGAAGATATGCGTGAAAAATGGTTTAAACATTAAATCTAAAAAAATCTAAACTGAATTTTTTAAAAAAAAAATCTCTTAACCACTTTGCAATGTCATTGACAAACAGTCTGTGGACAAAATTTGAATTTGGTATCTTATCAGAAAGTAGGTTAAAAACTGATGTCAAAGACCAGAAAAACAGACCTTTGTTTTTCTGGTCTTAATTAAAAAATTCAGTAAACATTCATATAGAAAGCATCAACACCTGTTGTAATAAAACATCTAAATGTAAATTACAGTACAAAGATCTGGACTCGTCGGGACTTTGGCGATTCCGAATTTGAGATTTTTCCGGATATTAGATCATCAGTTTAATGTTTGTAAGATGGCATGTAAAAATTGTAAAATTAAAAATATGAAATTGATTTATGAAATAGTAAAGCATTTATGATCTAAAGGGTAACAAAATTTACAAAAAAAAAAAAAAAAAACTTAATATTTATGTTTACTTTATTAAGCATTTCTTACAATGTAAGTTGCTTTTTTGTGCTAATATTTTCTCTTTAATTCTGTACACAGATATAATTTTTTATTCAGTTACAAAGTTCCATTGTTCAAGTCTTGTAATTGCTGTGTCAAGAATTCCGACTAACTTG